CCAGTTCAGGAGGCCCCAGTTCAGCCTCCAGAGTATGCGGAGGAGGTAGAACCTTCTCTAACCCAGCAAGAGACCCCAGCTCAGCCTCCGGGCCCTCCTGTGGAGACTGAACCTTCTCTCAGTGAGCAAGAGACCCCAACTCAGCCTTCTGAGTCTCCTGGGGAGGACCAGTCTTCTGAAAGCCAGCTGGAAGTACCGGTGCAATCTCTAGACTTGCCCAGTGTGACCGGTGAACCTGCAGATGTACTAATGACTATAACACCTGAACCCACTACAGAGCTGGGAACTTCTATGATCAATGGTGAGGTTATAGTTCTTCCCTCAATTCCAACTAATGAGTCAGGACCTTCTGCATCCCAGCCTGAAGCCCCAACTGTGCCTCCAGAGCTCCCTAACGATGTAGGTCAATCTCCAGAAGGTGAGGATGTGACAGGTTCTTCTCTAGGTTCTGATCAAGCTGAGTCTCCTACTCCAGAATTGAATAATGAGGTTGAAACTTCAGCGCAACAGGAGACCCTAGATGAGTCCTCAGTGTCCCCTGAGCAGTTGGAACCTCAGCCAAGCCCCCCTCTAGAGGAGGAACAACCTCCAACTGATCAAGAGGTCCCCAGTCAGCTTGAAGAGCTGCCTGAGGAATCTTTATCAAGTCAGCAGGAGAGCTCATCTCTGCCCTCAACGCCCCCCGTGAGTGCTGAACTTCCACCAGTCCAGGAAACACTCCCAACTAAACCTCCAGAATCCACATTTGTCCCGACTATTGCTTCCTTCAGTGATTCCATGTCATTTTCACCTCAAGATCTAGAAGTAATGTTCAGAAGTGGGTCTTCAAATTTGCCTAAAACCACAGTTCAACATGTGGCTCTGATAGTTACTGTACCTTCAGAAGCCACTAAAGAAGTTGAGCCAGTTTCCACCCAGCAAGTTACATTTTATCCAACCCAGTCTAATGCCCCTTCCCAGTCTCCAGGATTCCCTGAAAACTTTGGATTTTCTTCAGCCCAACAAGCAACCACAACTCAGATGGAAACTTCAACTGAGGTCCTAAGTCAGAATCAAGCTCAGGATTTAACATCACCCAGTGTTACATTTCAACCTTTGGACCTGGAACTCACCTCAACTCCAAAACCCACTAAACGTTCTAGAGCGAAGAAGAAGCCTGTAGCTCTTTCATCGTTCCCTATAGCTATTGGAACGTTCTCTATATCTCTTCCAACGGTCCCCGTATTTGTTTTTCCAACCATGCAGAAAACCTCAACTTTGCTTCCAAAGTATCAAGAAGGAATAATTCCAACACAAGAAACTTCAACTCAGCCACAGGTCCTAACTGAGAATCAAGTTCATTATTCAACAGTACCCAGCTTCGCATTTAAACCTGTGGAAGTGGAACTCCCCA